ATTGTTTTCTCTAGTTCTGTGGGGAATACTGCTGGTATTTTTATTGATATTGCATTCAATCTGCAGATCAGTTTTGGGAGTATGGCCATTTTGACAATATTGGTTTTTCCTATCCATGAAAAGGAGACACCTTTCCATTTTTTTCATGTCTTCTTTATTTTATTTTATTTTTTTTTTCTGGTACCAAGAATCGAACTCATGACCTTGCGCTTGCCAGGCAGGCACTGTGCCGCTGAGCTAAATCCCCAGCCCCCTACATGTCTTCTTTAATCTCCTTTTTCAGAGTTCTGTAGCATTCATTGTACAGGTCTTTCACTTCCTTATTTAGGTATTTAATTCCTAGGTATTTTAATTTTTCTTGATGCATTGTAAATTGCATTGCTTTCCTAACTTCTTTCTCAGTGAGTTCATTATTGATGTATACAAATGGTATTTTCATGAGTTGATTTCATAGCCTGCTATATTGCTGGAATTGGTTATTAATTATAAGAGTTTTTGGTGGAATTCTTTGGGTCTTCTATGTAGAGTGTCATATATTATCTGTAAATAATGATAATTTGAAGACTTTCTTTCCTAGACATCACCCTTTTTTTCTTTCTCTTGCCTGATTGCTCTGGCTAATACTTCAAGTGTGATGTAGAACAGAAGTTGAGATAGGGGGCTGGGGATTTAGCTCAGCGGCAAAAGCGCCTGCCTGGCAAGCGCAAGGTCGTGAGTTCGGTTCCCGGTACCGGAGAAAAACCAAAAAACCAAAAAACAAAAAAAAAACAAAAAAGAAGTTGAGATAGTAGGCTTCCTGTGTTGTTGCTGATTTTAGAGGGAAAGCTTTCAGTTTTTCCCCGTTTAATATGATGTTGGCCATTGGTTTGTCATAAATGATTTTATTATCAGATTCAAGTAATGTCTTGCTATACCTATTTTCTTCAGGGTTTTTATCACGAAGAGGTGTTGGATTTTGTCAAAAGACTTCTGTGTCTGTTGATTTGATCCTTGCTTCTGTTTATGTGGTGTGTTACATTTATTGGTTTGTGTATGTTGAATCATCCTTGCAACCCTGAGTGAAACCTGCTTGACCATGATGTATGATCCTTTTGATGACACGTTGCATTTTATTTGCCAATATCGTATTGAGGATTTCTGCTCTATGTTCATCATGCAGATTGGTCTTTAGTTTTCTTTGTTAGTCAGATCTTTGTCTGGTTTGGGGATCAAAGTGATGCTGGCTTCCAGGAAGCACTCCTTCTCTTTCGGTTTTATGAAAGAGTTTGAGGTGTATTGGGATATAAAGACCTAAAGATTCTGTAGAATTTGGCAGGGAATCCCTCAGGTCCTGGGCTTTTTTAGTTATTAGGCTTGAAAAAAATTTTTTTTTGGTACCAGGAATTGAACTGAGGACCTTGCACTTGCCAGGCAGGAAGTGTGCCACTGAGTTATATCCCTGGTGCTTTTATTATTATTATTATTGCCTCAACTTTATTGTTTGTTATTGGATTGCTCAAAGTTTTTATGCGTTCTTGATTTAGTCTTGGTAATTCACGTGGGTCTAAGAATCTTGCCATTTCTTCAGTATTTTCCAGTTATCCTTTCAACGAACCAGCTCTTTGATTTGTTATTTCCTTGTATTGTTTTTCTTTTTAGTCTTGATTTCATTAATCTCTACTTTGATCATTATGATTTCCACCCTCAGTTTCAGTGTGGCTTGGATTGATGTTGTTTTTGAGTATCTCAAGGTTCCTCATCAGTTTATGCATTTGAGCTTGCTCTGGTTTTCCAATGTGAGCACTGACTGCAGTGAGCGTCCCCGTTAGGACTGCTTTCTTTCTACCTCACTGGTTGTGCTGTGTTGTGTGGCATTTGAGTCCAGAAAAGGTTTGATTTTTTGCTTGATTTCTTCTGTGCCACATTTGGTATTCAGGAGTGTGTTAATAAATTTCCAGCTATTTCTAAATTTTCTGTGGTTTCCTTTGTGATTATTAATTTGATTGCACAATGGTCTGATAGCAAACATGACATGATTTCAATTCTTTTATATTTAAGCAGGCTGTATGACTAATATGTGGTCTATTTTGAAGGAAGTTCCATGTGATGCTAAGAAGAATGTGCACTTTGGTGTAGCAAGAAGAACACTCTGTAGATATCTACTGAGTCCATTTGTTTGATTATGTGGTTTAGCACTGATATTTAATGATTTTGTGGTTTAATGGATGTGTATCCCTGTGAAAGTGGAGTATTGAGACCACCCTCTATAATTGTGTTAGTGTTACTTTGACCTTTTATGTCCAGCAGTACTTATTTTATGAAGGTAGGTGCTCCTGTACCCAGTGCATACATATTTTTGTTGGATTATTCCCTTAACTAGTATCTAATGACATTCGTTGTCCCTTCTGATCAGCTTTAGCTTGAAGTTCACTTTGTCTGAGAGTAAAATGCTACACTTTCTTGTTTTTGGTGCATGGAATCTTATTTTCCATCCCTTGATTTTTAGTCTATGAATATCTTTTTGGATTAGATGAGTTTCTTGAATGCAGTAGACTGTTGGATTCTATTTTCTGAACCAGTCTGCCAATCCCTGGTTTTTAATCAGAGAATTGAAGCCATTAACACTGAGAGTTAATATTAAAAGCTATTGATTTATTATTGTTATTGCACTATTTTTCTACTAGTGACTCTTTTGTGTTTTGTTTGTTTGTTTTCTTTTTCTTGTTTTTTTTTTCTTGTTTGTTTATTTGTTTCTCTATTTGCCTTGCTTGATGTGCTTGTTGCATCTGGATTTTTGGCTTTGCTGGCTTCACTGTCTCTGCCTAGAATATTCTTGAGTACTTTCTGGACAGCCAGTTTGGTGTTTATAAATCTCTTGAGCTGATCTTTTTCATGGAATGTCCTTATTTCTCCATTTGTTTATTTGTTTGTTTTTGTTTGTTTGTTTGTTTGTTTTTTCTCCGGTACCGGGAACCGAACTCACGACCTTGCACTTGCCAGGCAGGCGCTTTGCCACTGAGCTAAATCCCCAGCCCCTCTCCATTTGTTTAGAAAGAAAGTTTTGTTGGATATGTTAATCTGATATAGGATTTATTTGCTTTTGGGTTTGAAATATTTCACTCCAAGTTCTTTTGGCCTTTAAAGTTTGTGTTGAAAAGCTTGTTGTAATTCTAATGGGCTTACCTTTCTATGTGAATTTTTTGTTTTTCTCTTATAGATTTTAAAGCTGTTGTTTTATTGGATATCTGGCATTTTAATTGTAATGTGTTATGGGGAGCTCCTTTTTCATCATGGTTGGTTGGACTCCGTCAGCCTCACTTCCCACGTGTTGAACTCTTTCCTTATACTTGGGAAGTTTTCCATTATTATTTCTGTAAAAAAAAAATTTATTCCTTATCTGTTACCTTTTAGTTTTTCTCTAACTTCAGTCAGCTTTAGGTTAATCTTCTTAGTGCCCTCCAACAGCTGCTTCATGAATTTTTCTTATATATTCTGGATACAAGTTTAGTGATATGAAAGATATACGATTTGGTATCTTTCTTTTTTTTTTTTTTTTTTTTTGTACTGGGAATTGAACTCAGGACCTTGTGATTGCCAGGCAGGCACTTGTGCCGCTGAGCTATATCCCTGGCAGATTTGGTATCTTTTTACTTGCAATTTATTTTTTGTTTTGTTTTTGTGCCTGTGGTATAATATGTAAGAAAGGTGTCTTAATTAGTTTTCTTGTTACTGAGACAAAATACCCAACACCCAAAGTTAAAGGGGGAAAGGTTTATTAGCTCACAGTCTGTAGAGGTTTCAATCCATAATCAGCTGGCTCCACGGCAGGGTGACACATGGCAGAGGGCAACAGTTCATGACTACAGAAGACAGCAAAAACAACAAGAGAGAGCAGACAGGCCTCTTCCTGTCCCTTATATTGTATCCAGTCTGCCAGGATTAGGGTGGTGCCAGTCCAATCAGTGGACTGATCCAGCAGTCACCCACCCTTATTCCCAGCATTACGCTAAAAATCAGTCACGTGCTCTAGACTCAGCCACCCCGCAAGAAACCCTAAGACTGCATGAGGCTTTGGGGGGGACATTTAGATATGGATCATAACAAAAGGATCACCTAACTCACTGAAGGCCATTAAAATTAACTGCCTTATTGTCTTCAACAAGTTTTCATTGTTTGAACTCTTACATTTAAGCTTATGATACATTTTGAATTAATTTTTGAGTACTATGTGAGGTCAGCCAACTCCTCATTTTTAACCCCCTGAAAATAATCTCCTAAGGCTAGAAAGAGCTCTCAACCCATGCACTGCTACAGAATCATCTAGGTGAGATGTTAGGAGGTGTGGACTGGGGGCCTTGGAGCTGACCTTCCTATTTAGGCAGTGACCTTAACTGTTTACCTCTTTATTCTGTTCTCTGTGGGCTTCGGTTAGTCGTACGTGTGACAGCCAGCAGTACGGAGCGTGCTCAAGGGGATAGATAAGCACAATGGCTGTTGGCACAGGTGAACTTGGCAGATCAACAAATAATGAGCCTTGCTGGAGTCCACTCAGGGCTTCTCTGCAGAAGGCTGTGTGAATGATGGGACCTGTCTGACCACAGCCCAGGGAAGAGCATCCCCTCAGGCGAGCAGGTGTAGGAGCCCCAAGCAGACAGGAGATGCAGGGGGTGAGCTGCGGACAGCACACTTGGATACCTTGAAGAATAAAAGCTGATGTGGACCAAAACTAGGAGTCCCTGGGATAGCTAGGACACAGGGACCTGGGAACAGGTAGAGGCCTCGTGGGTCCCGTCGCGTAGTCGGGGCTTCTCTGCAAGAGCAGCGAGAGGACGCACCAAGCACGGGCACATCAGAGCCTGGACGGGCCTCAGGCTGCCTCCTGTGTGGGTAATGGGCCGAGGGGGATTGAGAGGGAGGCCCTGAACGAGGCAGAGTCTGCGTCCTGATGCTCATAAGATCAGGAAGAGGACTGCGTCGCGGCAACAGAGGCCCCCAAGTGTCACGTTTCTCCCTTGCTGCAGGCTGGTGAATTGCAAGCTGACGGCTGAGGACTGCAAGGCCTTCGCCTCCATCCTGATGGAGGGCAGGAAGCTGAAGCAACTGAACCTCGCCTCCAACTTCCTGAAGAAGGGGGTGCGCACCCTCTGCAAGGCCCTGTGCCACCCCGACTGCACCCTGCAGTTCCTGGTGTAAGTGTGGGAGGCTGCCCTGTGGAGAGCCTGCGGGCGGGTGACGGGGCCTGGGGCCCCTGCTCTGTCCAATAGCGGGACCGCAGCGGAGGTGGAAAAGCTGACCTGGGGTTCCCACACACGCTCACACTTGCCCCCTGTCCCCTCCAGTGAGTGCTTTAGCCTCCCCCAGGTCCATGAGCCGCTCTGTGCACGGCAGAAGGAAGGTCACACACCTGTCCTCCACGTCGCGTGGGTGGCGGGTGAGATCATCTGCACACAGGCGTGTGCAGCAGGCCCTCCGCGTCCGCGGTGCCACCTCTGTGGATTCCACTAACTGTGGGTCAAAAGTATTCTGGGTGAAATTTGTTTCTGCACTGAACAGCTGCAGATTGCTTTCCTTGTCTTTATTCCCTAACTGGCAGTGTGATGATTGTTTATGTAGCATTTACAGTACAGTATACACGAGCCGTCGTCCATCCAGAGCGTGCAGGGGACGTGCGTGGGTTCCATGCAAACCCCTCATCCTTTCCCATCAGAGACTTTGACACCCACGGGGGCAGGTACCGGCACTGACCCTCCCTGGGCACTGAGGGACGACTTGTGACTAAGTTTTTCAGATCTCAGACAAAACGGAAGATCCACAACGCGTACCACACGTGTTGGTAACACTGACTGGTCTCTACCACGCTCAGGATAGTTACAGAGCAAGATGTCCCCAGGCCTCATGTCCCCATTTACTGCTGAGTGTGCTCTTGTGATTATAGGATGGATAAGTGGGCTAACCTTGAAAAGCAGAGTGCACAGAACACAGAGGAGGAAAAGAGGTGAGCTGTTGATTGCTCATCTCCGATATGTAATATGTACAGTTTTTTATATATGTATGTGTGTGTGATATGAAAAGTGTCAGAAGAGATTACACAAGTCAACAAAGAAATAATTGCCTGTATTGCAATGAACATCTGGATATAAAAATACAATTACAGTGGGATAACCAGAAATAGGTGATAAATATAAACATCTAGGAGGACTTACTAATGTAAACTAAACATTTTTTTTTTTGTCTTTTTGAGACAGGGTCTTGCTATGCAGCTCAGGCTGGCCTTGAGCTCACTCTATAGCCCAGGCTGGCTTCAAACTCCCAACGATCCTCCTGTCAGCCTCCTGAGTGCTGGGATTACAGGCATGCACCACTATGCCTGGCCTTAAACTAAACGTTTTAAATGAATTATTTTAATTTCAATTTTAGATCTAGTAATATACTAAAAGTAAAATAACGCAAAAGGTTTATGACACAGTATATAAACTGTTCATGGTATCATAAATATATAATATTATTAGTATCTCAGTATTTCTTTGATTCCTATTAATGAAAAGCACAACAGTTAATTCTCAATGTTTTCCAGCAGCTGGTAGAAGAAGACATTGTTTTGTTGTTGTTGTTGTTTGAAGACAGGAATCAAACTCAGGGCCTCACGCTTGCCAGGCAGGCACCATGCTACTCAGCTATTCCCCCAACTCAAGAAGACATTGTTTTATTTTATTTTTATTTATTTATTTATTTTTTTGGTTTTTCTCCGGTACCGGGAACCGAACTCACGACCTTGCGCTTGCCAGGCAGGCGCTTTTGCCGCTGAGCTAAATCCCCAGCCCCGAAGACATTGTTTTAAAACAGAGAAATACTGAACACATAGAAAATGTTATAGAGCATGTGCAAACTACAATCAATTATGACAATTTAAAAGTAAATAACCACTACTATGAAATCATTTCATTAAGTGCTCACTTATAATTGAAAAAATAGAAAACATGGGTAAATCTAGATTTCCAAATGTAATTTTTAGCAGGAAGAGACAAGATTTAACACTGTGAGTTCCTTGATAGCTTGGTTTTCCGCAAGTTCTTGTTCTCCCCAGTGTGAATGCCTGGCTGCCCTGGTTAATGGAGGGTGGAGGAGGCCCAGGCACTGCAGGCCTGGTGTGCACAGGCCCCACCCTGGAAGCAGCTGTCTCTCCATCCCAGCCTGTCAGGGGTCTATATGTGGCCAAGGACTCCATATTGCCAGGCAGCTCAATTTGCAGTAGACATTGGAAACTAGGATTTTACATAAAATTTTACTTTTATCTAAATGTTAACAAGAGCCAGGCACGGTAGTGCACACTTGCAATCCCAGCACTCGAGAGGCTGAGGCAGGAGGATAGCCAAGAGTTTGATGCCAGCCTGGGCTACATAGCAAGACCTTGTCTCAAAACAAAAACAAAAACAAAAAAACCCTAAATGTTGACAGTTAATTTTTGTAAATATAAAATGCCAGAAAACTTAAATATCTAGAGGCCCTGTATAGCTCATGCATCGCGGGTGTGCAGTCTCTACACTTTTCTGTACCTCACAAACGTTCCAGAGTGAACATGCATCCTTTTTAGGAAGCCACGAAACTACGATGATTTTCAAGAGTAACAGAATTAAGTAATACGAGGGTTTTACATGGGAGGAAACCAATACACTTTCCCAACCCAGCAAGGGATGACCGCGGAGAGCTGAGTGTAGTGTGTGTGAGCGGCACACGGTGTAGAATTAGAACTGGAATTTAAGCACTTTCAGCAGTATTTGCTGTGCTGTTTTACACCATAGTTTTTCTTATGAATTACTTTATCAGTTCCATTTTCTAACCCTTCTGTCATGTAAGAAAAAATGAAGGGAGATGTTTTCAGGTAAGCCACGAGCTCTGGGTTTCTCTTGCAGGTCCTGGGTGTCAGGTTATAGAAACTTACCTTTCCTGTTGGAAATGTTACTTTTCCCCTCACTGCGCTGTGCCCTTCCATGTTTTGTCCCCAAAGGCTGGCCTTCTGCTACCTCAGTAACTGGTGCTGGGACTACCTCGCTGAAGTGCTCCTGACCAGCAAAAGCCTGACCCACCTGGACCTCAGCCTGAACACCCTGAGGGACGAGGGGCTGAAGGTTCTCTGTGAGGCCCTGAGATACCCGACCTGCATGCTGAAGACACTGAGGTGGGTCCTTCGTGTTTGACGCTGGCGACCAGTCCTTCTCACCAGGGCCTCTGGGTGGGCTGCAGAGTCTGTGGCTACGGACAGAGGGGTTAGAAGCCCTCAACTCAGCTCCTCCGGGTCTCAGATAGTGGTTGTCACCTTCCCCCATCTTTAGGATTTCCTTAAGTTTGTTCTGTAGCACTGGCTTGATGGTCATGAATTTCTGTAGTTTATACTTATCTTGGAAGGTCTTACTTGTTCTTCGATTTTGAGCAATAGTCATGCATGGCCTAGTAATCTGGGTTAGACATTATTTTCTTTCAGGGTTAGAAATACATCATTCCAAGCCCTCCTAGACTTTAAAGTTTCTGTTGAGAATTCTGCTGTTATTCAGAAGGGTTTGTCCTTGTAAGTTATTTGGCATTTCTAACAGCTTTAAAATTCTTTCTTTACTCTGAATTTCGGGCAGTTTCCTCTCTGGTCAAGTCTATGTGGGGTTCTAAATGCCTCCTTCACCTGCGCATCCTTCTCACCCTCCAGTCTGGGGAATTTCCCACTCCATTTCAGTAGCAGGTTTCTGTGCCATTGCCCGTATTTTCTTGTCCTCCTTGAGGCCAGAGAGTGGGAGATGCAGTCATTCAGAGTTGTCCGAAAGCTCTTGAATGATCTGTGTGTTGTTGCTGTCTACCTCTGTCGAGATTTTTGGTTGAGTTTTTCTTTATCTAATCAGGTTTTCATCTCCGGGCTTTCTGCTTGTTGTTTCTCAGAACCTGTTTCTTTACCGAAGTGGTCTTTCCCAGCCCACATTGTCTTCCTGAATTCATTCAGCTGCTTATGTGCGTCTCCTCTGATCTCACTGATCACTTTAACGATCAGTTTTTAGTCCTTTGTGTGGAATTTCATCCATTTAGTACCCATGGTTTTTGGTTTTAGAGAGCTGTGACTCTTTGGAGCATCTCGTTGCTTTGTCTTCTCACAGCTCTTGTGTTCTGTCTTGAGGTTGGCGGACCAGCGGGTAAGGATGTCTCCCCTGGGGGGTTGCAGGTCACTTTAGTTAGAGGCTCTCTCCTTGTGATGCCCTGGACCAGGTGTCTCCCTGGGACAGAGCCCACTCAGACTGTTCTGCAAGTGAGGTTTGGTCCCCAGCATTGCTTTGGGAGGGGAGAAAACTACCAAAAACAACTCGGGCTGGGGATTTAGCTCAGCAGCACAGCACCTGCCTGGCAAGTGCAAGGTTGTGAGTTCGATTCCTGGTACCAGAAAGAAAAAAAACTCTTGTTGTTTTAAGATCAAGAAAAGACAGGGAATGTAATAATATACAATAGGTAAGAAAAAAAATTAATGATATTCTGATTAATAATAATTTTCTACATTAATAATTTTATATTAATACTAGTTTATATTTTTATGTTAGTATTATGTTAATACTGTTATTTATACTAATTTTATATATTAATAGTATCTTTAGATGAAAAAGGGAGAAAGGCAGAGAGACAGAAGAAAATATAAGAAAAATAAAGAAAGATAGAAAGGGAAGATAATTGGGAAGTGAGAGAAGAGATAAAGAGATGACTGGATCCAAGTACTGAGCTAACAGTAAAACAAACTTAGATAATCCTACAAAACAACCACTGATATAAAACATGACAAAATAATACAGCATAGGACAGAGCAAAGGCAGAAACTAATACACACACACATACACACACACACACACACACACACACACACACATCCCAAACACATCCCAAACTAAAAATCAACCAACAAACACAAAACAAATCCAGGATGGATCCCCCACTTTGGAGCTTTTTGTAGTGAGGACAGTTACCTGCCCCTGCTGGGGGAAGAGGGTGTGAAATCCTCCCCGTTTGGTGGGACAAGCTCTCTGTGGTGTCCACAGCTGAGCTCTCCTCCACCAACCAGTGGCGCAGTCCACACCTGTGTCTCACTGGTTTGGGCTATCTCATTTTGTTTGTACCTGGGGATAAGCACACCTGCTGTGGAGGCCTCTCCACAGTGGGTCCTGCTCCAAGGCCCCTGTCCCCGTGCCTACTCTCGGAGCCATGGCTGCAAGTGTCTGTGTGCAGCGTGGGTTCCCAGTGTTACCAAGCAAGGCACGGCGCTGCACACACAGGGCCCATGCTGTCCTTCACAGCGTACACCCCAGAGGAGCTGCTGGGGCACAGCCTCAGGTCTGCTGTGATTGGGAGCCTCAGATATCTTCCAGTGGTGGCCGCGTGCTGGCCCTGCTCCTCCAGTGAGTCTCAGCCTTGGGTTCCCGCCCCGTGGTCTACACAGCTGGCATCACCCAGGCCTCCTCTCGCCCCCTTGGTGCTCCCGGCTCCTGCGTGGGCCACAGCGCCCTCAGTCTGTCTCTGGCTCATGGTTCCAGTGGTGCTCAGGGCTGGGAGGCAACAGCTCCTCCGCGGTGACGCTGCGGCCCCTGGCTGGACACCGCACCACATCACGCCATCCCAAAGCTCCTTCCTTCCCCACTGTTCCTGCAGTTTGATGCAGTGCTCCATCACGGCAGGCGGCTGCAGAGACCTGGCAGCTGTCCTCACCAGCAACCAGAACCTGACCAGCCTGCTGCTCGCGAAGAACCACCTGGGCGACACCGGCGTGAAGCTGCTGTGTGGTGCCGTGGCGCAGCCTGGCTGCCGCCTGGAGAACCTGGGGTGGGTACCGCATTTTGCAGCTAGGGCTCCGTGGGTGGCCAGCTGTCGGGGGACAACTGTGAGGGGAGAGCTGGACAGGAGGAGGACTCCCACCGGGGCGACACGGTGCTCGGCGAGGCTGCACAGCCACTCAGCAACCCTGCGTGACTGGAGAGCTGGGTTCCTGGGCACAGGGTCCCGGTTGGCCTCGCTGCCAGGGGTGAGTCTGGCCAGCCATCAGCTGGGGACCCCGGGGGCGATGGGGCCACTTGTCATCTAACTGGGAGCCTGGGATTTTTTTTAGTAGTGCTGGAGGTCAAACCCAGCACCTTCCCACTGAACTGCACTGCATCCCCAACCCTTTTAACAAGGTCTCATGAAGTTGCCCACACTGGGCTCAAATTCGTGATGCTCCTGCCTCAGCCTCCCACGTGCTGGGATTTCGGGCAGGCACCATCAGAAGCCCGGCTGGGCCTGGGCTGCTGGGCCTGGTGGCCACACTCACTTACTCCAGTTGCACCGCAGAGCGTCACGGACCGAGTGCCGCGGGCATAGAGCTCTGCTGTCTCGTGTGAGGCCTGGTGTCCCAGGGATGGGCTCTGATTCCAGGGCCCCTCAGGGCCTGTGGGTGCCTGTCCCTCCCTGCCCTTCGCCCCCCTTCCCGCTCGCGTGTCCTGTGGCTAACGCTCCTCTCGAAAGGACCAGTCACACAGTGTGGGGCTACCTCATGTCCGCTCTCACCCTGACGCCTCGTACGTACTCTGGCTCCCAGCACAGTCCCGTTCAGAGGCCCTGGGGCAGGACGTCAACGTGGAAGTCGTGGGGACGTAGTTTGGCCCCAGCTGCATCTCGGGAGCCCAAGGGACGGGAAGTGGGTGCTCAGAACGCACAGCCTCCGGTCCTGGTGTTGCAGTGCCCAAGGGAGGGACAAGGCCAGCCCAGCCCAGGCGGGGACGCGCGCTCAGAGGAACGAGCCCAGTTCCCCTGCCATGGGCAGGGACCCAGAAGCGAACGGACAGTGGTGGCCACGTCTGTGACCGAGCAGGATGTCTGTGTGAGGACAGCGGCTGTCACCGTGCCTGAGGCTATGGCCGGCTTGGCCGGGGCCGCCTCTCACGCCATGTTCTCTCGCAGGCTGGACGACTGCGGCCTGACCGGTGCCTGCTGCGAGGACCTCGCTGACATGCTCACCAGCAGCAAGACTCTGACCACGCTGAGCCTGATTCAGAATCCCCTGGACCACTGTGGGGTGGCGGTGCTGTGCGAGGGCCTGAGGCACCCCGAGTGCACCCTGCGGGTGCTTGGGTGAGCTGGCATGGCCCCCTTCGGCAGGGAGAGTCCTGGGCTCCACGAGGCCCGCTGTGCAGCCCCACAGTGCAGCCTTGCTGCGTGTGGCGCTTTTCCTCTTTCAACCTTGATCTGTGTCAGCCGCGTCGGCAGCGCGCAGTGCTCAGCTCAGCCTGGGGGGCTCGCGGCGCAGCGCATCCGCGTTCTTCTGTCCCCTGCGGTCCGCTCTCCCCTTCTTCATCCTCCTGCTATCTGCGGAGATCTGTCACCCCCGCTGGGGCCACTGCAGGAGGAGGGGGAGGCCAAGGCCTCACCCCGCTGGTACTGGCGCTGGTGCTGGTGCTGGCGAGCGGTGGGTGCCGCGGTCTGTGGCGCTGGACACCATCGCCGAGCGGGTTACAGCGCGTAACTCCGTTTGCACAGTGCGCGGCGGCACACGGCCCCTGGGCGCAGCTTTCCAGCGTGACCCTGGCACAAGCGGTCCGACTTTCACTTCCCCGAAGTACCCTGAAAGTCGTGCGCTCTTCTACATTTTATTGCCACGCAGGCCGGTGTTAGGTGTTGGTGGCTTGCCTGGCCGGAGGCAGAGGTGAGCGTCCCGAGCTGTCTCCGTGCGGCCAGGACTCGCCGTGCTGCGTGATTCCTGACTAGGGTATTTGACTCAGGCTATCGGTCGGTCAGGTGTAGCCCTGTCATAAATGGAGGAGCATCTGCATTTATAACGGAATTTATATTTGTACAGATAAACATGCTACAGTTGAATTTACATTATGCATAACCTTTCATAATATTACCCCAGGGCATACAAGCGTCCTACAACTATAAATACAGTGTGGTGTAAGTGATGTATAAGCAGACGTCACACGCCCTTAGCTTGTATCTTTCGCATTCATCCTCTTCTGCTCAAACGACACCAGGTCCCAGCGGTGGCGGGCACAGGCCAGGGCTCCTCACCAGGGGACGCCCCAGGTGTGCTGGGCTAATGCGGCCCCGGCCACAGAACTCCCCACTGTCCCTGCTGCGTAGACGCAGGATCCGTCCTTGTCGTCCACCCTGACATCTCCCTCCAGAAATGCTGGCTGCCCGGCTCTATCTCTGCCCCATTTTGACTCTTGCCAAGGCCTCGGACCAGAGCGCAGGACTACTGACAGCTGACAGCTGACAGCGGAGGGCTGGGCTGTGGGCCTGTCTGGGTCACAGGGTCCGCATCTCCTCCAGCTCTGCCCCGTGCCCACCCCGGAGGAGCTCCCACCTCTCCCGGTGATTGTCCTCCTCCAAGGTCAGGTGCTTTCTCGGCATGGGCCTTAGGGACGCACACATCGCCTGAGGGGACGAGTATGGCTCGGCAAAGCCGTGCGTCCCCTCCCCGGCCTGCTCAGGTGGGTGCTCTGAGATGCGCGCTGTGGGCTAGGAGCTCGGTTCCCACCCACAGGAGGAGGCCACGCGGGAGCCGTGGGCAAACAGAGCCCACAGCGGGGCAGGCGACGTACAGGTCTGCAGGAGAACCGAGACGCGGCCGCGGGTCCTCTGCCCGGCCGGAGGCGGCGCGGTGCAGGGGCCACTCATGGCTGCCCAGGCTTGGCCCCGCCGGGAGTGCTCTCGGCTTCCATGACCTGAGTGTCCTCACCTCGCTCGGGACCCTAACGGCGTCCTGGGAGGTCGCCGGGCGGTGTACGGAGCAGCGTGCACAGAAATGATCAGCGTCTTCCCTTTAAAAATGGCACCCGCGCCAGCCGCCCTCCTCCCTGCCGCTCGCTCACTCCTTGCCCCAAACCCTGACTCTCTGCGGAATCGGCACCCTGTCTGTCGCCGGTTTTGGACGCTTGCCCGTCCAGGGACACAGCAGAGCCAGCTCCCTCGGGGCCGGGGGCGCCGTGTGCCTCTCTTCCTCGCCCCGTGAGTGACATCTAGTGGGCAGCTTGAAATCGCCACGGTTGGGTTGGCGAGTTTGCACCACAGAAGCGAGCACGGCGACAAAGCCGGGTGCGGGTGCGGGTGGCGGTCACTGCTGTTGTCCTTTGGGGTGCGTCGGGTGCTGAGCACGTATCAGTGCCCTGCGGATCACGGGCACACCTGTCCCTTTGGTGTGACACCAGCTCCTGGGCCCGTCCTGGACAGAGAAAGATGGCGGACAGGAGGGCAAGGTGTGCGCTAACCAGAGCCTTTCCTCTATTTTACCAGATTGAACAAAGCTGCCTTTGATAAGAAAACCCAGGCACTTCTGATAGACGAGGAAAAGCGGAACCCTAACCTGGCCGTCTTAGAAAGCTGGTGACAGAAATGGACGACATGGCGGGTGGGAGGCAGGCTGCGAGCACCTGGGTGCTCGAGGGGACACTATGAGGACCCCTGAGGGACGACCTGCGTGACCTGAGGGAGGGCCTGTGTGGACACCTGTGTGGACACCTGTGTGGATACCTGAGGGACGACCTGCATGGACACTGTGTGGACACCTGCGTGGACACCTATGTGGACAGGTGTGTGGACACTGAGGGACAACCCGTGTGGACACCTGCGTGGATACCTGAGGGACGACCTGCGTGGACACCTACGTGGACAGGTGTGTGGACACTGAGGGACAACCCGTGTGGACACCTGTGTGGACACTTGTGTGGACAGGTGTGTGGACACCTGAGGGACAACCCGTGAGGACACCCGTGAGGACACCTGCGGGAGTGGGGCTGCCTGTGCCCCATCTGTACCTGGGGATCGAGAGTCACTGACAGTGGTTCTGCCCACCCAGGTCAGGTGAGCTTAGTGGCACAGACGTGGTTTTTAATTTGCTCTGTGGTCTTAGACGAGCCACTGCAAGAGCTCCGTGATGAAACTTGTATCCTGACTACAACTGCCTTTTAAATCCCCAATAAAGTCCTATTTCTTAGAGCACTGGGCTCTGCTGGGGGCAGACGGCAGGCGCAGCGGTGTGGGCGGAAGGGCTGCGGTCAGCTCGGCTCCGGCCAGCGTGGAAGGACGAGGGGCTTGCAGAGCCCGGGGGCCAGCCCCGCACTCCCCTTCCTGTGCAGCCCTGCAGCGGGGAGGTGCTTCCTCCTCCTGCCCCGCAGGACAACGGCATCTCAAAGCCGCTCCTCATGCAAAACACTCACTCCTCCACTTAACGCTGCAGGTGGAGGCAAAGCTGCGATGACCACAAGCCGCCTCCTTCCCCTCTCCCTACAGCAGGGTTCCCGGCCCTGGGCCACACAGGGGGAGCTAAGCAGCGGCAGGTGGCTGCCTCTGGGTTTCCTGGTTGTCCTGCCTCACCCCCTGAGCTCCCGCCCCGTCGGACGGGCAGGGCATTGAACTCCCACGGGAGCGGGACCCTGCCATGCACCTGAGGGAGGTGGGCAAACGGCGGCTCCTTACAAGAATCTCACGTAGTAATAACACAAATATGCCAGGTGTGATGGTGCACGCCTGTGATCCCAGCACTCAGGAGGCTGAGGCAGGAGGATCACAGCGAGTTTGAGGCCAGCCTGGGCTGCACAGCAAGACTCTGTTTCCAACCCTCCCCTCCTAAAAAAAGAAAACATAAAGTGCACAGTGCACGTAATGGGCTCGGCTCATCTGAAGCCACCCCTGCCACTCCTGCCCAGTGGGCAAACTGCCTTCCCCAAAGCCCGTCCCTGGGGACAGAGGTCGGGGAGTGCTGTGCCTGAGCCCCACCAGCAGCCCCGCCTGAGGCGAGTGGACAGCACGCACTGCAGGCACGTGGCAGTGTCCTCCCACGACGGCGTCGGAGTGAGGACCGCACACCAGGTGAGTCACCGAGGGGACGGTGGGGCCGGCAGCCCCTGGGCACACACAGGCTGTGTGTGCTCGTGCAGACCGTGCACACCGGCGCCGGGAAGGAAATGTGCACACGCACGGGGTCCTCGCCTCTGTCGGGGTAAAAACGTGTGTGTGTCTGCTTTTTAACCTGACATGCAGAACGCCAGCGTGTGCGTGTATGTGCTTTGTTTTCAGTATCTGTTCTGTACTGATAAGCAGTTAGGTTGCTAGTTCTCTCTCCCTCTCTCTCTCTCCCTCTTTCTCCCTCTCTCTGTCTCTCTCTCCCCCACCCCTCCCTCCCTCCCTCCGGATTAAACCTGGGGCCTTCACACTGAGTTGCATCTTTTGCCTTTTCAAATTAATTTTTAATTTTAAAACAGGGTCTTGGCCAGGGATATAGCTCAGCAGCACAGCGCCTGTCTGGCAAGCACAAGGTCCTCCTGAGTTTGATTCCCTGTACCAAAAAAAAAGAAAAGAAAAGAAAAAAAAAGGACAGGGTCTTGCCAAGTTGCCAGGCGAGAACTTGCAATCCTCCTGCCTCAGCCTCCCAGAGTGCTGGGATTACAGCGGGTTGGTTGGTTGGTTGTAACACCTGACATTAGGTGTATCAGTTTGCCACCTGGCAGCTGTCCCCTTGTGCCTGAGTCTCAATGTCGCGGTCTGCTGGGTGAGCAAGGCCTGTGGAGGTGGGCACCGGTGCGGAGGCCCGCGCGGAGCACACGTGGGGAGGCTCGTGCTTTGCTGTGTGGCCGGGAGAGGCTGGCGACCTGGCGGCACGGGGCTCGGGCAGGACGACCGCCAGCCGAGGTCTGGAGCTCAGCAGTGGCTTCTGGCTTTACGCCGGTAAGATGGCGAATTAGGTTATGCAGACTTTGCGACTGCAAAGAAAGAGAGAGAAAAGATCATGGGAGACAGATAAAGAAACACAGGAGTCACCGACTCTCCCTCCTGGAGCTGCGCAGGCGCGGGCCCCCTGCGCAGGAGGCGATGGGCGCCAGGGTGCGCGCGGCAGCAACCAAGACCTCGGACACCACCCAGCCCAGGGAGGGTCGGCCTGGCTCTTCACTGCCACGTCGAGGTCGGTGCGGGGAGTGAGCTGAGTGTGCACATCGGGGCAGCACTGAGGCTCGGAAAACCCACACCGGGTGTGACAGCGCACGCCTGTGTTCCCAGCGCTCTGGGAGGCTGAGGCAGGA